TGACTAATGTGAGCTGGCAGACATCAGCGTCAGCTTTAATCTGAAGGCGACGATAGGCTTTGAAATATGGCCAGGATATTGTAAAGTCTTTAAAACTGTGAATGCCTCATCCAGACAGATTTAATAGAACCTTCCTCCCCTGAACTGACTAATCATGGGATTTCAAATGTGATATATAACAAAACGCAAGACAGTCATTAAATTGCATATGTCAATTTTCTGAGCATTCTTTAATAGGCTATTTGATTTAATCCTCATGTTCTGTTGAGATTAAGCTTATTGTTGTCATGTTTGGAGTATAAGTGTAAGAACAATAAAAGCAATTTGAAATGTCTTATTTTCCTGTCAAGTTCCTTAGAAAACAGTAAAGGCAATGTTATTGAAGCCTTATGTTTCTTTTTAACAAAGCAGACATGCAATTTTTAGAAATGTGATTGGCATTGATTAAAGTAACATTGTTTCTGTTTGGGCTAAATTGAACTGGGAGCATAATCACACTTAAGAAAAAAAAAAAAAAAGAAATCTCAAAAGCAGTTCTCAACCAAGGGACCAGGGCCTGTTAGGGGGCCTCAATATGACTTAAAATGATTTAAAATAAGACAAAACAAGCATTAAAATAAGTTACAACTAACTTTTTTTTTTTTTTTTTAATTCCAGCCCTTAACGACTTTTTTCCCCCTTTATGAAACAGATGCTATTGTCTTGAAAAACATGGATATATGAGGAAGTCTAATTTTAAAAGTGTGATTTCCAGACCTGGAAAAATCATGTAAATTGATCAAATCTCCAAGGGAATTTCTATAATGAGTATACTTTTTCTCAGAGGTGTAAAGAGTACCTAAAAACCATACTTGAGTAAAAGTACAGATACCTTACAGTGAAAATTACTGCACTACACATTACAAGTCACCAATTTCAAAACAACTTGAGTAAAAGCTGCAACACTCATTTCAAATGTAGTGGAGTAAAGAGTACAGATACTCATTCAAAAATGTAGTGAAGTAAAGAGTAAAAGTTGCTAATATCTTTGATACTCAGTACAACTACAAAGTACCCGAAAAGATACTCAAGTACAGTAACTAATTACATTTACTCCAATACTTTACACCTCTGCTTTTTCTAATTATGCCAAGCTGTAAGTATATTTTCAGATTGAAACTGAGTAAAAAAAAAAATATATAAAAAAAAAAGGCTAACTATATTAGCATCCAGACCAACACACGATAACATTCTGTTTATTAGTTTTGTCATTCGCCGCTTTGAATGCTCGAGCTCTTCAAAGTAGGATCATTATGGTTGGCTGTCAATGTTTTTATAGTTCATCAGCTGCAAAAACAAACAAACAAACAAAAACAACGTGATTACAACATGATTATATATTTTTTATTTGATTAAATATTGTATATTTTTGAGATATTAAAAACCCCTAACAAAACATGAGGGTTAAGTATGCTGTACAGATACAAATAACCACTTAAAGTTGAAGGTTTTTGGAAGTGAATTACAAAAAGAACCTTAATATCCTCTGCATTATCAGAACAAAGTGAATACATAAAAACTCTATCACTGTTGAATGCACATTTCCCTAGATAACTCTAAATAAAGAAAATTCCTATAACAAGTGCACTGTTAACAGAGAGCTCTGAAGTTATGAAACCTGGAGAACATACACCACGTTTCATCTGGAGGTGTGGTGACTGACTGTTAATGTAAAGCTAGACCCCAACCCACCAGCACCACCCTCTCTCACATCATCATTCACAAGAAGTGTTGCTATGACAGTAGGATATTGACGGGTGTGACAGAACTTTGATTGCAGGGTCAGCCTCCGAGCTGGGGCTTGTCATCTGTCAGGTGTGAGCAAAGCTGGTAAGGAAATAAAGCTCAATAATCAGTCATTATTGTTTAATAACTCAATAAACCAACTCTAATAATACATTTAAGTAAAAAAATACATTACATCCAATGAATTTTATTATGCACTATATAGTAAGCAATTATATACATATTTTAATATTGTGCATATGGCTCTCTGTTTCGTGAACGAATATTTCAGACGTTTTTATTTTTTTGTGAAGTGGTTCAAATTCATTACCAAGCGAGAAGAGTTGCTGACTTCGATTGTTACTACTTAAGTGAGAACAGCAGTAAAGGTACATTTCTACAGTCCTAGTTTATGACCATAAATGTAGCATCATCTACATAGAATAACTGTTGTAACAAGAATACTTTGTCTTTTAGTCAACTATTCACCCATGCAGCTCCATTCTAACAGTACTGAAAATGAGCATTCAAACAACACTGACAAGCAAATACAGGTAGCAATAACAAATAATGGAGTCTTAATGTTCTCTATTCTCACTTTGCTAACAAAAACCTGTGTGCCAGGCATATAAATGTGAATGCAAATGTAAATCTAAGAGGATATGGCTCTGACCAAATTGGACTTTTAAGAAGGCGACAAGAGAAGACAATTTGAATGGAGGAAAAAGATGTTTCCCTGCCACCACAAGTGCTGGAAGCTTTGACAGGCACTTCTCACACAGGCTGACAGCTCTGTCAATAGCCCCAGGATGGCAGGTCTGATTGACAGCTAGCAGGTGGTGGCTGAATGGAGTTGTCAGGGCAACTGTCAATCAGCAGCATTGCCATGGAAACAAGGGAGGTAACACAGCTGCCCGTGGTGATCTATTGTTTTACCAGTCAAACACATGCATAGTAAAACACTTTCATTGCAAATCTCCAGAATGAATGTAATTGCTTAACAATTTTATTGAGAATTGAAATAGACTATATATTTAGACTAAGATGCGAAACATGCACAGTAATATAAGGAACATGGGTCCATCGCAAGCATGAAATAAAAAACAGCTCACTCTTTTCAGCTTCCTTCATACTACTAATTGCACCCGAGCAAAATCCAGGGCAGGTTTGTCATTCGAGCTTGAGTTGATATTCCCCATCTGGCTCCATTAGATGTGTTAACTACACAACTAATTGGTGTGAAATTGCCTTTAATAACTGTTGCTTGGAGATGAGTATCAGATGTTTCAATTATGGGGTGAAATGGCCACTCTGAGGCACTATGGTTTGGTATAGTTGATATGTTGAGTCTAATGATGACACATCCAGACTGAACTCAGCCACTTCGGAGAGACTCTGACCCCTAAAACGGTGGATCAGCATGAGAGACCAGCTGGACATTATAGAGCTCAAGGGCCCAGCAGCGATTATTAGTGCGATCCTTATCAGTGACAGTTTCAGTAACACAGATGCCCGTTGAGACAGTGGCATAAAATAGAAGGCACCACAGTGCCTCTAGATTTATTATTTACTGGCACAGAAAATAATCTGAAAACACTGACTCATGAGTGAGAATTAAAGTGATAGTTCTTCCAAAAATGAACATTTTGTCATCATTTACTCACCCTAATGTTGATCCAAACTTGTTTGACTGTATTTCTTCTGTGGAACACAAAATGAGACATTTAGTTGAAAGTTCATGTTTGTCTTTTCAGTAAAATGGATGTGAACAACAGTGAACAGAGGTTGTTAAAAATGACCAATGACAAGCAATATGTGTTCAGTAGAAGAAAAAAAATCAAACAGGTTTGGAATGTCACGATGGTGAGCAGATCTTAATCAGGGTAGCATATTTAATTTTTGACAGGAATGAGGCTGTGCAAGCTGGAAGTACAGTCTGTTCAATGAATTGTAGCTACTATTGTTTGACAACATACTGCACCGAGTGTGCAGCTGACAAAAAGCCTTTCTTAGAAGACAAAAATTTTTTTTAAAGTAAGTTGTGAAAATTACTTGATTTAGGACCTTTATACAGTGTGTGCCATTATAAAGACTAGGACTATCATGCAGGATAAAAGAAGTTCACTTCCAGAATGTAAATTCTGTCATCATTTACCTTCCACTTGTTCCAAAGCTGAATGAGTTTCTTTCTTCTGTTGAACACAAAGGATGATATTTTGAAAAAAATGTGGTATCCGAACAGTTGATGGGCACCATTGACTTCCATAGTATTTTTTTCCCCTACTATTGATGTCAATGGTGCCCATCAACTGTTCGGATACTAACATCTTTCAATATATCTTCTTTTGTGTTCAACAGAACAAAGAAACTCAAACAGGTTTGGAACAAGTGGAGGGTGAGTAAATGATGGCAGAATTTTCATTCTGGAAGTGACCTACTCCTTTAAAATTCAATATGGCGTCTAACCTGATTAAGGTTTATGGTAAGATAATTTTTATCTTCTGAGTGTACTATTTCTTTAAAGCCTGCTGTATAAGTTTCTATGTGAAATATCTCTCATGACTTTCAAGAGTTTTTCGCAACAGCCCTGCTAAATGACATCAAAAATCAACTCTAAGCCATTTTAAGCATGAAGATCATGCTTGAACTTTTTTTTTATTTGAGGTGATCATTCAGTCTTTCTAGACAGAAATTAATTGAACGGACTAAGCTGTGTTCAGCCCAGCTGCTGACTCAGAACCTGTCCACATCCAAATGTCAATGTGCTGATGGATAAGTCTGCAGTCAAACACAAATGACTGATACCGGTGCAAACAAAGGCATTGATGGAGCCAGTCCTCCTCAGAAATACTCCATCCTTGCCTTTAAATGCCAGAAGTAATAACGGAGCACTCTGAGTCATCTTGTTTTTGGATTATTCTTACACACTTGAATGCCACATTGTGAACCTTGTAAATGACTGTAGAGATGTGCCCGTGATTGATTTATTGTGAGATACTGCATCATTCAACACAAATATATAATTGCCTTCGATTAAGTTAATAACTCAAAGACATGCTGCCATATATATGTTGGCCCAAAGTTTACATTCAAAATAATTTATTGAATGATTTAATTCTAAATATTTTATAACATTTAAAAAGAATGCTTATGTAAAAACACCTAATCTGACAATCCTAAAAATGTTTTTGTTGGTAACATTTGGAGCCCAAAATTCAGCTGCTAAATGTCTATAGTTTTTTCCCCTCTCCATAGGCATCAACTTGTTTTGGCTTTGATTTTTAAAGATAAAAAAGTAAAAGGCTTTAGCGTCCTCTATTGGTTCTGACTGAACACCACCACCATGACAAAGGAGTTGCTTCATCAGTAAAACAGCGACTTGTTTCATGCACAGAAATGAATGCACAAATGAACGTCCTGTGTAGAACCGAAACCAAATGAATAATGTCCTAATGACCAGTTAAAACACTTGTACAGTCAAAATCATTTATTGTTTATCCTTTTCAGTTACCACAACATTTTTTCGGCAGTCACAAAAAAAGCTGATGTACAAAGCCAAAACTCTGTAAACAAGATAAAAAAGAGATGAGAGAATCAGAGACGAAGTTCAGAAATGATACATTTTTTTTTATGCTGACAGAAATTGGCAGCTATTTCATGACCAACATAGGTCAAAGTTGCACATAAATTTCATGAATTAACAAAATGAGAATTAACTTTGATAAAGCATTTTCCAAAAAAATCCACATCATAGACCACATCACAACAATGACAGTAGTCATGATGTCACTAGCACTACTATTTTGTTTGTCTTGAAAACATTTTAGGATTTTATTTTTTATCTATACTAATACACACAAAAGATACCAAAATGTGCAGCATCTTCATAAATTAAAGGGATTGTTCACACACAAAAAAAGAAAATTCTGTCATCATTTAATCAATCTCATGAAGATCCAAACCTGTATGACTTTCTTCTGTGAAACAACGATTTCCAACTTCCTTCAAAATAACTTCCTTTGTGTTCCACAGAAGAAAAAACATCATACAGGAAAGACAAGAGGTGAGTAAATGATTTTCGGGTGAACTATCCCTTTAAACAAACCATCTGGCATATAAAAAAGCAAATAGTAGAGAAATCATTTATCATCTCTATTAATTACTCTTACAGAGCAAATAAAATGTCCAGGGTGCATGTAAAAAAATTAATAAAAAAAAAACAGACAGATGACAGTATAGAAGTAGTGTGGAGGACAGAGGAAGAGGACAGCTAGTGAGAAAGTCAGACTATAGGAGTTACTGTTGTACAAAACCGAATTTAAAAGTTGTGTGTTGATGTGATGAACTCATGTCTGATGCAACCGTGTAGCTTTAAACTTGGACATCCTCTTGGGTGGCTCCTGAAGAGCTTCGGGGCCCACCTCCTCCAGCTTTCTCTCGGGGATTGTGGGTAAGGCAGGAGGGGCGATGATCAGGTGTGGGATGGAGCAAGGCAGGGGATCCTTTTCAATCACTGTGCCTGTAAAAGCCTAAAACACAAAAATACATTTAAATATTTAATGAGAATATTGTTTCTGAGCAAGACATATTAAAAAACAATGCATTTAATATCATTTCTGGACTGGTAAAGAAATAAAAATACTTTCTGTCACAAGATATATAAACAATAAAAGTTTACAGTTTTTGATTGCTGCTTTTCCATGTGAAATTTGCTGACATGATGCTGGGGCTTCCAGTCTATTCTGTATAGTCGCCAGGGCATTTCTATGGTGTTGCTACAGTATTTTGAGTGGTTTTTAAAATCACGTTGCACTACAGTGAATAAATCATTCACAATAAGATCAATAACATGCAATTAGAATATAGATTGGGTGAATTTCCATTTCATGCAGACTTTAACCAACAGCAACAAGTCTTCTGTACCTCAAAGCGTCCGTTAGTGCGGGGGCTCGTTCCAGTGGGGCTTTCCTCCTCTGTAATGCCATCGCTGGTATCACTGTGTGTGGCGTCATCATGGCTCCACGAGCGTCCAAAAGCCGCACGGCGCTCTTCAAAGTCAGCTGTGCTGCTTTCGCTGGTGTCACTGCACACGCTGTTCTCACGGCTGCGGGACTTCAAAATGGACTTGCGTGGTATTGGCTCTCCATTCACCAAATCCACAAACACCCTACAAACAAACACTGTGTTGAAACTGAACCGATAAAAAACAAACATGCTTTGTTTTAATACATCAATAAAAATAGATGAATGATGTTTCCCATTAGGCTGTTACCTATAAATGTCTGCTGGGCTTGTGATCTTGTAACTTTCATGAGGAGAAAGACCGTTACTTTTGCCACTTTTTTTTTTCCGCTTGGCTTGTGCCTTTTGTTCATTTCTTTCGCTGAATTTTAGAGTGGTGTTCTTTCCTGTATTTATCCTGACCTTCACAGGGAAAAAGGAAAATGGAAAGAAAGAATTATGCAAATCGTTTTATTTTGAAGACACACAGGAGAAAGTAATTCAATGCAAAAAAAAAAGTTAATATACACTACTGTTCAAAAGTTTGGGGTCGGTAAGATTATTATTATTTTTTTATGATTTTGAAAGAAGCTTCTTAGGTTTACCAAGGCTGATTTAATTTTTTTATTTCATCAACAATACAGTACAAACAGTAAAATGTGAAATATCATTACAATTTAAAATAATTCTGTTCTGCTTTCAAATATTTTAAAATGTAATTTATTCCTGTAATAACACTGACTTTTCAGCATCATTACTCCAGTCTTCAGTGTCACATGATCCTTCAGAAATCATTCTAATATGCTGATTTGCTGCTCAAGAAACATTTATTATTAATGTTGAAAACAGTTCTGCTGTTTAATATTTTTTGTGGAAACAAAGGGGGCGTTCACCTAGCTTTCTCCTTCATTTCCAAAGTGCTTGGGACCTGCCGTTGCTAAGCATGTTTTATATCGCTGCGACGCAGACACGCCTGGAAAAAAACCAGCGTGTCGCGACCGCATCGCTCTCTATTTGTGTGTGCTTGCCGCATGTCTACATTTGAAATAATGAACTTGAGCGCGCAAAATTCTTTGATGAATAAAGTTCAAAAGAGCAGCATTTATTTGATCTTCGTCTTATGTAGGACTATCTAAAAGGGGTTTATGTAGCACTCGACTAACCTTTTTGAATTCCGCAGTATGAGAAAAATAGATAGTTGGAAGACCATTGCCTGATTCCTCATCACAATCTTCCTCATCACAATCTTCCTCATCCTCAGGGTGTGAGCCATTAGTGCCGTTCATCTGACTTGTGATAGATGACGGTACCCAGCCATTTTCCTTCTGATGGCCATTAACTTCGACACTGCTGCCATCTTCTGCTTCCTTCTCTTCCTCGGAGGAGGAAGTGGTGTCTTCTCCATTAGTGTCTGTGCTGTCCAATCTAGTATAACGGGGGAAGAAAATAGAACAAATCTATAAGCACACTATTAAAAAGTTTGTGCAACAGCTACTTTTTCTTTATGTATATTGCACTTTCAGTTTACCAAAAGATGTATGCATATGTGGTATGATTAAACAGGGTTTCAACACTTTTAGATCAATAAATTTCCCATGACCTTTCTGTAAAGTTTGTGATTACCGGATAAGATTACTGGGATTTTTCTTTTAAAAATATAATTGGGATATCTGGGGTTGATTTCCATTTTAATGCTATGCACCAATACTTTATTTTAAACACTGGAGAAACACCACCTTGTGTCACATAGGAAACAATTATTAGCTAGTATCATTTGCGCACTTAATACATTGCTGTTCAAAAGTTTAAGGTTGGTAAAATTTATTGTTTCTGAAAGAAGCCTCTCTTGCTCACCTTGGATGCATTTATTTGATTTAAAAAATACAGTAAAACCAATAAAAGTGTGAAATATGATTACCATTGAAAATAACTGTTTTCTTTTTTAATATATTTTAGGTCACACTTTATTTTTAAGGTCTAATTCTCGCAATTAACAACGACTTTTCCCTGAACAAACTCCTAATTGGCTGCTTAGTAATAGTTAGTATGGTAGTTAAGTTTAGGTATTGGGGATGTAGAATATGGTCATGCAGAATATGTGCTTTATAAGCACTAATAAACAGCCAATATGTTAATAATAGGCATGCTATTAAGCAACTAGTTAATAGCAGTTAACTGGTCCCTATACTAAAGTGTTACCATTTTAAAATGTCATTTATTCCTGTGATATTAAAGTAGAATTGTCAGTAACCATTACTCCAGTGTCACGTGATCTTTCAGAAATCACTAATAGGTTGTTTTGGTGCTCAAGATACATTTCTTATGACAATCAATGTTGAAAACATTTGTGCTGCTTGATATTTTTTGTGGAAATTCAATATTTTACCGGTATCTCTCATCTTGAAGTTCCTCCTCACGCTCTAGTTCATCAAGCCGGGCCCACAGCTCCTCCTCTGACAGCAGCCCTGTCGTTCTCTCTTCATCGCCTTCTTTCTTCTCTGTGTCCTCTTCCAGCTCCGACAAATACTCCTGCTTAGGTTTAGAATTGGGTTTGTGGGCCAAACGTTTTCCTGTGGAAGCACAATAGGGAGTAAATGATCAACAGAAGATAAAACAACCTGATAACACAAAAGCTAACCTGAAAAACTAGAATTACCTTTGGTAAATTCTTCCTCATTTATTACCTCTTCTCTAATGTCTACAAAATCTTCAGTATCCTGTTAATAAAAAGAGCAGACATGATTCTCTTCCAGAGAAGAAAACATCAGTATAAGGTTTCCATATAATGTCACATGGCAATGAGGTCATGGTTAGGACACTTACACCAGCCAGTTTTTCCAGATCATCTGTAAAGTCGGCTTTATTCTGAAAGTTCTTCATCACTTTCTGTAAGTCATCTAGCGCATTTTTGACATCTGGAAAAATAACATATATCAGGTCAAGCTGTATGGATTTTTCCAAACTGGTCAATGGAAAATATTAATCGAATAGAAATGAACTCACGTTTCTTTCGGTGTTCCACAAGAGTGTCGGCTTGTTTGGCAGAACACTTTGCAAACCAGTTATCCCCGAGGAGCACCGTTAACTCATTAGTGTGAACTAGCTTTCCAGGCATGAAAGCCAAGGGACCAAATGGTACCTATCATGTTGAAAAAACATCCAAATGATGAGCAAAATCAAGCCTTAAAGTAATAGTGACACTTTCACTTTCAAATCTGACAAGTAAAGGCCTGTTCACTCCAAGCATGATAACTATCATGACAACTACACATCTACCACAGCAACACACATTAGGTGCTGTTATTATAAACATGCACTGCAATAGGGCTGCACGATAAATCGCATGCGATATTTAACGCGCATCTTGTCAGAAAGCCGGTTCTGTAATCAGCGGTAAATCTCCATCACAGATGCCGCTTTACTGATAAGATGCGCGTTAAATATCGCATGCGATTTATCGTGCAGCCCTACACTGCAATTAAGTTGCCTGTCACTTTAAATGCTCAAGCTCTGATTGGCTGTTAATGTTTTTATCATTCATCAGCTAGAAAAGATTGTTCAAAGTGATTCCAACGATATTGTTCCTCTATGTCACTATCGATATAGTTGTGGTGTGAACTTTCCTATTCTCACAGAATAACAAAGATTATTAAAACTTTACGGTTACAGTTATTGTCCTTGACGTAAACAGGTCTTAAAGGGGTCATCCGATGCCCATTTTCCACAATATGATTCTTTAGGGTCTTAATGAAAAGTCTGTAACATAGTTTGGTTAAAATTTCTCAATGGTAGTGTAAAAAACACCTTTTTTTTACCCTGTCAAAAAGTTTTTTGTTTTGTAGCATTGTCCTTTAAATGTTAATGAGCTCTGCTGACCCCGCCCCTCTCTTCCAAGCCGCTCTCTGAGGGACTGTTTACTTTAGCCGCATTCATCGTGAAACTTGCTAATTAGCACATTATTAAAACAAAAACTTATACTCACTTCTTCTGTAGGTGAAGCTAGATCACGAATGATTCGCACGAACATAAACGCATTTATGTAGATCGGGGGGGCGCATTCTCTTCAGAAACAAACGTAATCCACTGTGTCTTCAGCGGCTCAGATGTCGGGAGTAAATGACTACTGCTACGTTCATTATTACATCCAACAACAGAACACCTCAATCGCTTAGGAGTCATTCTTGTCTACATCTGCTCCGGCGGTGAAACAATGGCGGACTGATGACAGCTCACTCAGGGTGGGTCTAAAGTAAGACGCCAGTCCAGTCTGTGCTGAAACGCTACTGTCAATCAAACTATCGTGGGAGGGGCCTGTCTGTGTGACGTCACACAGACAGGCATCTGAGGACGGCTCGATTTGAGAAAGGGGTCAAGATTTTAGTAGATTAAAAAAAAACACTGGGTAGATTTTTATCATTATAGGGTGGTTGCATTTCAGTTCAAACAACTTGTAAAAGTGCATGTAGCATCGGATAACCCCTTTAAAACAGGCTAAAACTGTGTGAATAATACTCTGTTGATAACTTAATATTTTGTTGCTCAGGCAGAGAAAATGTTTGTGTATCTAGATGTGAAGATTAATTTGGGTGCATCAGTAATTGAAAAGTGACACCATACCATAATATCATAAGACAACTTGTCAGGCAAAGTCCTGAGGCGGTCTTGAAGAAATTCATAGTCTTTTTCCACTTTATTCCTGTCAGTCACAGAGAAAAATGAATCTTCTAAAAGGAAATTGTTTGTTTGTTGACACAAGCTCTATTTTCGTCCTACCTACTGAAAATCTTTTTAAAATACTGAAAAGGAATATAACAAAAGCCTGTCAAATCTTGTCATAACCATCAACATCTATCTAGCGATCACAGTATAAATAGCATTTCCATTCCAAATTTAAACATTCAACAACCAATAACCAACCAATGACAAACTAACATGCAACAATGAATGATAATAACGTTATGCATGTCAGAGAGCTGTTAAATTGCACAAGGACACTCACCAGTGCTCAATTTGACTTCTGCAATCTTTCACCACCTGTTGTGGAAACAGTGACAATTTGTCATTTCATTACCGCTGAGATTCCCAAAATGCCACAGACAGCCAGTGACAATCACTGCTAAACGATCTGTATTATTCTGGTAATGTGAATTGGCCATTATAGAGAGAGAGTGAATGACAGTCCTGAAAGTTTCTAATGAGATGTAGAGAGAAGGTATCCTGTAACACATATTTATGGAGAGAGAGTGCAAACCGGTGTATTTATGGCAATGTAAAAAATTGTCTGTAGACTACAAAAACATATAATGTTTCCTATTAGAGTAATAATAATGAGATTGTTTTGGCATTACGACAATTAACATTTCAAGGTTAATGTGCTTAATGTCACCGTTCAAATCATCTTAATGCTAATGAATTAATTAATTTTTGCAAAATATAATTTAAAAGTTAGATTTTTTTTTCTACTTTTCAATTGTTGTTTTCATATTGGCATGCAATATGACAGAGGTTTGTCTTTTAAGAGATTCACCCACCAATAAAACAATATAAAGCATGTCTAACAGCATGCACAGACATGCATTGTGTGTTTTGTTTTTCTTATTTTCTCTTTTAAAAGACATGTCGCTTAGAGTAGTGCAACACAGAAGTTTCCAGATCTTCCAAAGAAAAATCCACCAGTTTTGGCGACTGTAAAGAAAGCAGTACAAATGTAGCTTTCATATCTGGCCAGCTAAGGTTTATCCTCCAGTGTCAACACATCGGTAATATACAGTTTCTTTGCCTTTCACCTACTCAAGTCACTCAAAATACCATGCAAATATAAATAGGTCAGTTAACCCTTACCTTCACATAGAGTCATTTCACAGCATGTAAACTTCCTACTGTAACAGTACAGTAAGCTTTTGCTTGCTGTATGCATTTTGGCAACGTGGACAACATGTGTTAGAATAAAGATCGTTTGCTAGCTATACATAAATAATTTACTGTTAACATTACTGAGATACATTGCATATAAATATGTACATGCTTTTTATTGCAATGTATCAGAAACATGCATGCATGCAATAAGCTAGCCAGCAGCAACACGTGATACACAAAGAACTTTCCAGAGAACGAAACGCGTAATACTGCGACTATACTGCAAAAAAAAAAGATGACGAATCTATGCTGATGATAAATCACGTGCACGGACATCAAGCTTTATATCTGCAGGAATGCATTGGTGGTATATGAAGGAAACATTACTCCTGACCTTTCTGTGCTCCTCTTTCAACCTCTCAGCGCCTTGAGGCAGATCTTTACTCTGTTTGACTTTTCCAGTTGCAGCCATTTGGTCATGCAAGTATGTCATCCACAATAAAACAAGGATTTGTTGTTTAAATATCCAAAACACTGAATGCTCAGGGGTTTGAAGTCCTATAAAAATGTTTATGAATGCAATTGGATGTGTTGCACTCAATCTGTCGCCTCGTAGTCATCAATGAAGCAGAACAAGTGGTCCAGTATATCGAGTTTGAGACCATTTCACACGTGCATGGTACGATGTCAATCTTATCCCAAAATATCCTCTTGTTTACAGTCCACCGATGGCCTGTTTCCCCTGCGCCATGTTCAGCTAATCACGGATGTAGTACGTACTCTGGATATCGCTCTTCCTACAACGACGCAAACACGTGATCGCTTACTTCGCTTATTTAATTTCACTTTCAGTTATGAATAACAAATACAAATGTTAAGGATTAAATACATTTCTTAAACTATACATAGACTAAAAACAATTATCAGCATGGAATTGCATAAATAAGACAACGTCCTGACTATAAAATGTCCATAATGCAACATGAGTAATTACTTATGAGGGAAAAAAGTATATATATTTGATTCATAAATTATTCATAAAAGGTTCTGTTAATGGCAAGATTTGTTTGATCGAAAATGTGGATCGTTGACCAGAGGAGTGTCCTTTTAACGTACGTGTAAACAATCCTCACGCTGACTTTATCACGTGACATTTTGAATGAAACAGGAAGTTGTAAACGTTGAGAAAAAGGTAACTTCGTTTCAATTTTTTGCCAGTGTTGTTTCAGTTTGAACCGTTTTAAGATATGACTGATGTAGGTGTCTCATCCGAGCTGCTTTATAGCAAATCACATTATAATTAAATAATTCCACAATTTAAATTTCACCCAGATACCTTTATTTTGAAGAAAAGACAGTGTCGTCTGTGTAGTAACGTTTTCCGGAATGGTCTCTCCTCACATTGAAATGCTTTTAACTGCTTAAAGAAATTTGCACCTGAAATTCTAATTATTTATTAACATGAGGAATTATTAGAGTGCTGGTGAGTACTGACACTTACACATAAAAGTGACTGAATCCTTTGCTTTTTAAAAATCATAGTTTTGTCATGTCATTGGAAAATTGTTCATATCAAATAAATATATAGACTTCACATTTTTTTCACTCCTTTCATTTAATATAGCTACTTTTTAATTTATTCGTGCTTATTTATGTAAATTTAAATGTGCATTCAGCTTAATAAGACAAAATAAAACTTGACTTATTCACTAGTTGGAATGCATGTTTATCGCATTAATAATTATTTTGTATTTGTTGACATGTGACGATTTTTTATTAATTTTTTTGTCCAGGTGACAAGAAGCTTTTGAGTCAGTCATGTTCAGGCACTGCAGGACATTTTCACATTATGTCTTAAAAAGTCAGACAAATGATGTACTTTCAAAACCAGTTAGGATTCTTTTGCCCTGGTCTCCATTCACTTGTACCGCATCCCCGCGTACTCATTCTACCAACATCAAGATGCGCTCCTACTTACAGTACATGAAAAGGAAAGTCAAAGGTTCACCAGCTCCTCCATACAACCATGTGTGTCAGGTTGGAGATCCTGTGTTACATTCACGGGCTGCGGCAGTGGAACCTGGAGCCATTCAGGGACCAGAAGTGCAGAAGGTCATAAAGACCCTGGTCAAGGTGATGAGGAAGCTTGAGTGTGTCGGCCTGAGCGCACCCCAGATTGGTGTTCCTCTACAAATATTAGCTTTAGAGTATCCAAAGAAAATGCTGGAGGACAACTCAATCGCTTCTTTTGAAGCTCGGGGTCTGGTGGCAGTGCCCCTTATGATTTTTGTAAACCCACAGTTATGTTTATTAGATGGACGCACTGTCATCTTCCAAGAAGCTTGTGAGAGCATCTGTGGCTATTCAGCATCTGTTCCATGCTATGTGTCTGTAGAAGTCTCAGGTAAAAGCATCATGCTATAAAATATCAAAAACAATGAATGAATAAATAAATAAGACTCAACCGGTAATTAAAGCTGCAAGCAGCGATGAACGGGCCCTCGCACCCGGGCTCCTTTAGATTACACTGACCAACTTTGGTGTTGATCTGAATAAATCTCTATGAGGAGTTCGTTAAAGTACAACCCCTGAAAATGGCAAAAACGACACAAATTTTGCAGAGAAAATTCAAAATAACCGACTTCCTGTTGGGATTCGGATTTCGTACCAGGAGACTTTTTTTGTAGGTATTGGTGTGTTACATGTGTGTACCGAATTTCGTACATATACATGAAACGTAGCTCGAGGCGCACTCCATTTTGCCACACCCACTTCTGAAACCCGTATCAGATGTAAATTTTCGCCACTTCTGAGGCGTGTGCAAAGTTTCATGACTTTTTGAGCATGTTTAGGCCCTCAAAAATGCGATTGATCTTAGAGAAGAAGAAAAAAAATAAAAATAATAATAAACGGAGCAGATACAAGAGGGTCCTCGCACCACCGGTGCTCGGGCCCTAATAAGAAGTGACTGTTAGAGACATAAATCCATTGTTGCAACCTAAATATTTATTCTGATATTCTTGATAGTATCAAATCAGAACTTTTTTTTTTCTTCTACAAGGTCTTAATGAGAAAGCGGAGCCTGTCAGCTGGCAAGCAAGTGGATGGCTGGCCAGAATACTGCAGCATGAAATAGAATACTTGCCGGACCCACTGTATATTGATCGCATGGATATTAAAACCTTCATTAACGTAAAATGGGAAGAGTATAATGAATGACGCTTTGGGAACTTCATTGCAACCTTACCTTTGTATTTCAGAGAAAATGTATATTCCTATCAATCCTGTGTTATCTGAAACAAGCATTTCATCACATTCCCCATTGAACATTTACAATCAAGCTAGTTTCCACTTTGGCTACGCATAGTATACAACTAAATGGAGATTACAACACCTTCATCTCCAACAGTAAGACCCCTTTTTTTGTAACAATATTATTTTTGATTTTTTGATTTTTAAATAAAAGCAAAAGCAGAATTCTCTTTCAGTCCCTTTATTTTTATATTAATTCCAATAAACCATCACAGTAACTGACATGTACGTTATATTTAATAATTATATGGCAGTATATCTCTCTAAGCAACATGGTGATTGGTTAGAGATCATTGGTTAGTTGCTAAGACCCCAAACCATCATTTTCAACCATCAAAACGTGCTGAACCAGTTACTGAATACATTACAATTATCAAATATTGGGCTGGCCATCACATACTCTCACCATTAGACAGTTACAAGCCTTGTTACTGAGTGACATTAGTAAGAGATAGTTAACTCTACAGTGAACTTAATAATTTTTGTAATATACGGCTCTTATCATCACATAAAGACACCACTGATATCAAAAATTAAAAGTGTAACAGATTGCATGTTTCTATCCCCCAGAATTTCAGACTCCTTGTGCAATTACCAAAATAATAACAGGCTTAATTTGCAGATTAAAAACAGCGTCTTCAACCAGACATGGTCGACACTGACACACAGTTGTTTTCAAACAGAGGAAGAGCTGAGGATAGGCTTTCCACACCTGCATAACAAGGTATTTTTATAGCAACACAGATGGCAATACACAGCACCACAGTACCTGCATAAGGTGCTAAGTTCAGAACTGTGGCAAGTGGTGCAATATGTTCTGATATTATGTATTTTGTGTTTTTGAGAGCAATGTCGTAGATCAGGACACCCAGTGAAATGAAAGACTTCACAAGTAAGGCATAGTGTCAGGAAAAGTTTGGTTAGCTTTCAAGCAATCACGGTGATATGGTATTGGTGCATTAGGTGTTTTGGATCCAACCGTTTCCTGGGGGTACTGCATATGATGTGCAGAAGAATGACATGTGTTTCTCTTTTGAACATTCACTCTTTCTCCTTGAGGGGGCTGCACTGTCCCCGTAGACGGAATACAGTGATTAAATCGGCATGCTTTAATAAAATCACAGTTGTGTTCATGGATCAACTGACAGTCATAGCACACCAAAAATGAATCAGAAGAAGAATTCATCATACAAAAATGTGTCTTGAGTGAATCTTTAGATTTTTCCTTGGTCATTCTGAGCTGGTTTTGTAATGAATAAAGGGTCTTCGGTCTTAAAATGGCACAGAGCTAATTTATGTTATTTATTTTTGCACTCCTTATAATAGTCACAAAATGGACAGTGCAGACTTTTGCACTTCTCACATTGGTATACATTTAACAAACCTTGCTTCATACAGCTGCATATCACTTTTGCTGCTGCTTGGCTCTGGGCATCACCTTCACAGTTTGATCTTCAGCAAAGCTTTCCATCGGACCTGGACTTTTGAGTGGTCCTCCCTGCCTTGCATCCTCATTATTCCCCATGTTTGACCGTGAGGCCTCTTTCTGTAAAGGCTTGCTTAGATCAGTCTCTTTTGGTTGCATATAAGAAGAGTGAGGTGGTGAACAAGACGTGGATGTCACGCGAGAAGCATCTGTCTGCTCTGTGTACAGATCCAGCTCAGTGTCCATGCCACCTGTCAGGATGGCATCTGAAACACTAGCAGCATCTGCCTTTCTCTTGGTGTTCTCTAGTGCTACCTGAAGACTGTGGCCTGCCTGCCTCTCCTTAACTAGCTGTAGAACTCACTCCACACCTCTGTCCACCGAGCCCAAGGCCAAAAGTAGCAGCTGGCACTCCATCCGGGCAGTGAAGAAGCCACATGCAAGGCTGAGTAAGAAATCAGTAGGAACTAGTTTGGAGTTCAGCGCCAACTCCTCTTCTTCTTTAGGACTTGAGGCCTGGTATCCAAGCAAACCAAACAGCTCTTTAGCCTGCTGAAGGGTTAGTGCAGGTTTGATCGAATGGGTGAACATACCTGAAAACATCTGGTGAGAAGGAAGAGACTATTTAAAGGTGGTGAAAACAAACCAACGTCAAAGAGACTGTTAAAAATCTAGCTCTATAGGTGGAGCACTAGTATTTCCACATACCTTCACCAGTCTGTACTCTCTTCTCCAGGGGTAGACGTAGAGGTTTAAAGCAGTGAGCTCCAACACTTCAAAGGCCTTGGAAAGTTTTTCAAGCCCCATTTGGCCAGTTTTAGAGGGAAATGCATAGAGAGATTTTTCCATCACTGCCAGTGAATCTAATCCATGTAGGTGATGTATCTTCTAGGCATTGCCATTGTGAAGGAGCATCTTGACTTCCTTACAAAGTTCCTCATTCCTGCACACCAAACTTCGATCCCCCTTTTCAATTTGTCTCTCCAAGTTAGTCTGGTACCTATTAATGTGGCCATCTTCTGTCTTTTTATAAGCATAATTCATCCTAGAAGAAAGAATATTGGAAGTTTATTTATTGTCAACCAAATTATAATCATTAAACATGTCAATAATCACAACAGATATACAGAAACAATATAGCAAGTTTATATTTTGCATAAACGTCATTACCACCATGTATAGTTGGGTGAAGACAACTAAAAACTACAAAATGTCATTTAAAGATGACATTTCAGTTCAATTCAATCTGAACAGTGATTGAATATATGTGGAAATTTAAACTATTAAAAACCATCTATAATACTAGCAAGTTGGAGCTAAACTCTGCAGGACACCGGCCCTCCAGGACCGCGTTTGGGCACCCGTTCTAGATCAACAGACTAAAGTGAAAGTGAAGATCGAAAACAGTTCCATCAGATTATCTGAAACCACCGTCTTACACAATTAATTAAATTCATATTTTTAAAAGTATATTAAATGTATAGCACATTGTTGAACAATAAATAGCATAAACTACGCTAAATGCTTAAAGATTATGCATCTTGCCTTTCCAAACCAAAACCAAAACCACAGCCACTGGTATATTTGTTTTCAACTGACTCATTAAATTCAAATCAACAACGCTCTTGACACACGACTAACGCCGTTCACATTAGACTGTAACGAATCAACTAAACTAAATTCATTACTTGATCGACGTTCAACGTCCAACAAAAAACTGCTTTGAAGAGCGTCGCTGTTTCCCAGTGGAGAAACTTTTTTGACATCACTTCCGGCTCACGTGAAGATTTTTAGGGTTGCAGTGTCGTCAAACCTTATAAACTAAATAAGTAAATAAAATTAAAGGAGTAAATATAATTGTATAAAAATAAATAGAATAAAAAGTAATAAAAAAAACGGTGTAAATGTGCATTTGTCATATATGAAAAGTATTCCATATCAATCTTGAGATCCCTGTTCCTTATTCCAAGTCTAAAACACAGAGGCATCTCTCATTTTGTGAATAAAATAGCTAAAATAATTTATACAAATGTATTCGCAGTTTATACAACTCTAAATGTGCAGTATGCTATGATTATTCAATTTAGTGTATCTACCAGTGCTAGTTCACAAGAGGGCGCTATCGCTATAATATATGATAGAAACTGTTGGTAATATCAGACCTGACCTTGGTATCAAACTTAATTATTACAACCTTTCCTACTGACATGATGATATTACTGGTATTCACTACAATATAAGATTTGTTTTTCAGCCGCAACATTTATAATTTTCCTAAAAAAATTGTTTCTTTGAAACTGTAATTTAATTGTGATAAAGGATAAAAGAATGCATAATTAGGTGGGCGTGTCATTCTGAAAGGGGCGTGGTATCTGGCTGCGGTTCCATTTAAAGATCTTGAGCAGCAGGAGACATGAAACCCATAAACTAAAGCATAATCAATCTCGGGCGTCTGCACTGCTGCAGCGGTTGTGTTCGCGATGTCAAACGGGGACAGGGTGGTTTTAGCGCTCGGTGGAGCAGGAACTGTCGGCTCCGGGATAGTGAAAGCTCTCCTGGACAGGGGTAAGAGCATATCAAGTATTTACATTTAATATATAATAGTAAGCATTATTTTTATAAAAAAAAAAAATATATATATATTAAATATTATTTATATATTATTTATTTTATTTATAGCAGCAGTAACTATTATTATTATTATTATTATCAGCGCATTTATGAATAGGAAAACAATTATATATCCACCCCTATTAGATGTTTTAAATTCAGATCTCAATTCTGATTCCGTAATTTAATTCTAACATTTCCTTTCTTTTACTTTAAATGATAAAAATAAATGTCTTTGCATAAATTTTTTTTTTTTAAAGCATTAGCATGTGTGGTAACTATGCAAACACATATTTAGGTTTCAAGGTTGCTGTGATCTCCAGAGACAGCAGCAAGTTGGAGAAACTCAAGGGGTTTGTTTCAGCTAGCACAAAAAGTAACCTGACCACTTTAGTGGGGAATGTTGGTATGTATCTTCTCCTTTTGCAATTTATTTTTATTTTTTGGTGTGTGTTATCTTTGCAGTTCTACACATTTTAAGGTCTCATTGATTTTGGATTGTTTGTGACTAATGAAATACTCTCCTAATCTATCAGGCTCAGAAGAAGGAGCGGAGGAGGTGAAACAGGCCTTGCTTAAGTCTGTGGGAAAGATCACAGATGTGGTGTCCTCTCTGGGCTTCAGCTGGTGGCAGGGAGGTCCACCACACACCCAACCCCTCAAAGAACTGCACTGGGTAAGAGAAGAGCATTTACCCTTGCAAGCCCTCTATATGCAATATTAATTAATACATATTAAACACGATTCTTTCAGTGATTGTTTATACGTGCTTATATGACGCACAACATTTCACCATCCACGTTTTGCATTCTAACCAAACTTTCATCCTTAGGTCTGCATCTCCACCATCATTTGATTGCTCAAAACTCTTTCCTCTCTGATCAACAGGTTATTGAGACTCTGCTTTTCAGCACCTTTGTGTCTTGGAAAGCGTTCTTTACCCTGGTGAAAGATGATCCTAACTGTACCTACACGTTTATCACGGGTACGTCATTATTTGTCTTGCAAAACATATTTATTTAAGATTATTTAGTCATATGTGAAAAAATAATTGTGAGTTTACTAGTAAATCTATTTTAAAAGACACAAATGTCTTTTCCTGCGGGCAGTCATGGTCTAATGGTTATAGAGTCGGACTTGTTGGACCAAAGGTACAGCACTCTCTTCCACCTTTAATACCGCGACTGAGGTGAGACCCTTGAGCAAGTCACCAAAACCCCCAACTGCTCCCCGGGTGCTGCAGCAAAAATGTCTGGCCACTGCTTAAAGGGTTGCGCAATGTAGCCAATCACAGACTCAGCTGTTGATTTCTGGAAGGCAATGGCCAATCAGAGGTGATTAAGTTAGAATCTACTCACTGCAGTGCTGAAATTGCGTGCTCACAAAATCCTCTCATTTTAACACACGAAGTGTAGACATTGTGAAAGATTCATTGTGCATATATTTATTGTGTTATAACAAAGCTTTATGAGATTGCGATTAACTGAGATGTCAGCTTTTAGTGATAATAAAGGAAGCGCTGCTCGCATTCTGCCATGCCAAACCATGCACGCAGCAGCCCATGCTTGCTTTTCTGTTGTGAATGTTGATGATTAGATTATGATTATCTCAGAGGCACAAAATCACTTTCACAGACTTTTTCATTAACTGTTCCCTCCTGGTGGAATGACCTGCCCAACTCAATCCAAGCAGCTGAGTCCTTAGCCATCTTCAAGAAACGACTAAAAACACATCTGTTCCACCTTTATTTCACCCTCTAACTCTAGCACTTTCTATTCTATTTTAATCCTACTTTATATTTATCTTCTTTTTTTATTAAAAAAACACAAAAAAACACACTAGCTTTCTATTTTTTCTATTCTATCTACTTGTTTTTCTTTGTGTGTGTGTGTGTGTGTATAAAATATACATATATATACACCTTGCTACATGTACTGTGTTAGGCTAACAGAGACTTGTCATTTGCACTTATATATTGTTGCTCTTTTGTTAGTTTTGACTGCTTTTATTGTCCTCATTTGTAAGTCGCTTTGGATAAAAGCGTCTGCTAAATGTAAATGATTAGCCTAAATAACAAATATTTTATCGGGAGTTTTTTTTTGCTGGGATGTTGTGGAGCTTAGGAGATGTTACAGAACCATTTAATGTAAATTTCTTCGATGTACTGAAAAAAAATCTTTATAGATTACTTCTATGCGGGCTTTTGCGGGCGGGAGCGGGACCAGATAAGATATAGTTCTGCGGGAGCGGGCGGGCGCGCAGGTCTCTAATGCAGAGCACAGATTCTGAGTATGGGACACACTTGGCTACACGTCACTCACTTTCACTTTGAAAATTTAGAGTCCAAATTTATCATTTAGCAAATTCAAAACACAAATCAATAAAACAGAATCATTGGTCAGATAGCCGGCAACAACGTATATACTCTTAAAAATAACTTTTCTTTATGAGCATTTTGGAACCTTTACGATCAATGATGGAACCTTTACAATGGACAACATTTTTTTTATAGTGGAAAAAGGTTTGTCTGGTTAAAATGTGCTTTAAAAAAATGGTTTATTTTAAGATCTGTGGAAATAAATGGAAGAAAACACACACACACACACACACACACACACACACACACACACACACACACATACATACATACATACATACATACATAGAGAGAGAAACAGATTCCTATAGGAACCAGATGTAGAAGGCAAAAACATTGAGTTGAAATAAAATTTCATGGCCAGTAAATTTTCTCAATCCACTAACCATTATCAGGCAGATGTGGCAACAAAAAGTAAATTATTCCCCCTGCTTATCCAGATGCGTTCTGTGTTATACAGGAGGTGCTGGAGAGAAAGTTCTCATGCCGGGCACAGGGTTCCTGACTGTAGGGGCAGCCAGTGTTCTGGCGTTCTGTCAGGTTCTGCGTGAGGAGTACCCAGAGGTGCCATGCAAAGTCAACCAGGTGTCTCATCAAACTCTCCTAAACCCAACGACAAGCTCATGGGGTTATATTCCGGCCATGTAGACTCACTGAAGATGTGCTTAATTAAATGTCATGAAAGTATTTCCTCATATTTGTTCCTCTATGATGCCTGTCTTAATAATCTTCCAACAGGTGAAAATCAATACAGGTGTTGCGGCCCCAGACCGAATGGCCCCCGGGTACCTGAACCACTTGGATTTAGGGGAGGCCGTGGCTACGCTGGTGGAGCGCCGCAACACGTCCCACACCGTCTTCCCCGTGAGCTGTCCTGCCGATCTAAAAACTGTTATCTTGGAGGGCAATCTGTAAGCAAGGCCCATCGGATTTTCCTCTGTATTCACTTTATCCTGTTAGTATGCGTGTATTGTTTTATTGCATGTCAACAAAACATTTCTGTACTGACAATCCCCAGCTTTGTCATAGCCTTGAAATACTCATTGTGCTCAAAACAAATCAATATCATAACCAATGGAATAGTACAGATGCAGCTGAGCGTAAACGCAGCCCCAGACTTGTAAGTTTGACACTGAAGTAGAGAGACACGTGTGAGGACGGATGTGAAAACAAACTCGGTCTTTTCCACGGTTAGAGTAAGAGAAAAAACATGGCACATTGTTGGCACACTTGCGTCCCCGTAGCTTGACTACCTGCCCTCGTTCACTCAAAACTTATCTGGCTGTTGCTTCCACAGCTCCAAATATTCCCAGCCGTGTGGCCCATAATAAGCGTGTAGGGGGCAAGAGGTTCAGAAATGGCCGGCCTTTAAATTGGGGGACATTGTTGTCTGCGTTTGCTGTAATCATGACACTTACATTAACGCTTTAGTGACAGGGATTTAAATTTGACACTGGATTTAGTGAAGTGTCTAATTAAAGGGGGAAGGAGGTGAAAAGGCTTTGTCAGTTTGTCAACTGTAGTTTTGCATTGCATCAGCTTATTAAAGCGATAGTTCGCTCAAAACTTAAAACGTTTCCTCCTCATGTCAGTTCCTTCTGTGGAACAAAAAAAAAAATATTTTTTTTTAAATATTCTTGAAGAAAGAAAACCATATAGGTTTGAAATGAGATATTAGATTGAATAGATGTTGAGAATTTAAATGTTTTGGGTGAACTAGCCGTTTATATCTTAAGTACAGACCAAAAAGTGTGCCATTCTGTTCATACAACCAAAACATAGTTTCTGTTACTCGGTTTAGTACTTGTCTGAGTGAAAACCATTCATGGGGCATTTATATTGTGTGTCTGAGGAAATTAAACTAATAAAAAAAGAGAAAATCTCCCAGACTCCTAATTTCTTTGAAGTAGTAACCAACATGACATGAGCCACAATGCTGAGGGTGTGATATGACTTTAGTTGCCTGGATTTCATTAAAATCTGGCTTAGAGTTCTTATTTCAAAAATAGTTTGGGAATTGAAAAATTTAAAACAACGGAAAACAAAGTATCCACTTTGGCAACCAATGAAATCCCTTTTCGTGAGACAGTACACTTCGAATGCCAAAAAGACATCAATATTTTCAAACTCAAAACTCATACTTGAAGAGATGGCTCACCACAAAATGAAAACTCTGTCATTATTTATTCACCCTCATGTTGTTCCAAATGGGTATTATTATTATTACTGCTATTTTGAATGACATGAGGGTAAGTAATTAACAATTTTCATTTTTGGGCAAATTATTCATTTAAATTATATGAACAGAGTTAAAAATAGGAAATATCGGGGATGCAAAATCTCAGACCAATACTGGCACAATCAGAAAACACAAAAAGTGAGTCTCAGTAAGTTATGATGAGCAACCTAATGGCTTTTATATGCAATCTGACAAAATTTTATCACATCTCTCGCCATCTTTGGTGAATGACTGGAAGCATCCATCTAGTCATATCATCCATTTCTATATATCAAATTAAACACAAAGATCAGGGTTTGCAAACTTTCCCTAACCACTCTTGCTGTGTTTTGGTGTTTAACCCCAAGGCTTGTCACTGGTTATTTTGGGTGCCAGCTCCAAAACACCGACAGGGATTGGGGCATTTTTGTAGAGGGACAAGACAAGTGGACTGGAAGGGATTTAAAAGGCCGCCCATAGACAAAGTCACACAGTGAAGCCATTAGAGTAATCATCATCCACACAGAGGGTATTCTAGGACAGAGGTTAAGCCTCCTGATTCAGAGTGGCATGTTTTCTCCTTTGGCCCGGAAACTTTCGGAATAATCCAGCCATCTGCCCATCAGGCGACTTGGCCACCCTCTGAGCAATCACTTCTCCCAGTGATTTCCTTGCCCTTCGAATTTTAACTAATTGATTAAAAGGTGGTCAAAAGCATGGAAGAATTAGGAAAATAAAATAAAAACACCCTTGAGAGCACTAAACAGGGTTACATATGTCTTTATTGTTAGAAAATTCACATGCCATGCACTTTCAAACCATGCCCATGTGCATTATCCAATCCTAATGATCAGGTATGAAGAACTTGGGAAAGTTTTGTAAAAAATACATGGCCACTGTCTCCCAGGCAAAGAGATTCAGGCTACATTCATCAATTCACATTACATATCTTTAGCAACAAACAGAAAACAAACATTCTGCTCAGACAAAACACACACACACACATATATATATATACACATGCATGCATTTGCATGCACACAATTTTATTATGCCTATTTTCTATTCAATCCCCTCAACATCAGTAATGTCAGACTGAAGACAGATGGTTCAG